GCGGAGGGGGACGCGCTGACTGCTGGCAGAAAGCATTTGGAGCCCACAGAAAGTATTTTGGCTTTTTGAAAGTGTTTAGGATGCAGATGGAGAGAAAAAATACATTTAAAAAAAATTTTGTTGGTGTTGTTATAGTGCTTTATGAGCTTAAACGTTATCTGATTAAGGGATCACATTTTTTGTTAGTATTATTAGTCTAGTACTGTGTTGAGACTTTCCACGTCATTCTTTTATTCTTGTTTCCTTACCTCTTAATTCATAAATAAACATAACAATATTCAAGTGTTTTAATTTTTAGTTATCCTTTAAGGGATCAAGCCCCAGGCAAGCGCTCCACCGCTGAGCTACGTCCCCAGTCCCTCCCTGTTCTTCAGGAAGCTTTAATTACATGGGTGCAGATGGCACCATTCGCCCGCCAGCCTCACAGGCCTAACGGCTGCCACTCCCCCATCACAGCACATCTCTACATTTTGAAATGAGCCAGCACCCAGAACAGTTTGGAGCTATGTAAATGTTTACCCGAAGCCTCTGACAAATGTCCAAATTTTTAAAAATTACAGTAAAAGCTGTGTTGCCATCACTGCCCTTTGCTTTGAACAAACTTACCCCACAGTTGTTTTCTTTTTTTTTTTTTTTTTTTTTAGTACAGGGTCTACAGGGTCTCACTATGTAGATCGGACTCCTAGTGATCCGCTTGTGTTCAGTCTTCCAAGAGCTGGGATTACAGGCACATGCCACCATGCCCAATCTCAATTGCCCATCTCAGTGAGCCCGGGGCGGGGGCTGGCACAGCCGGCCTAGGGACTGAACCCCAGCCCCTGCTTGCAGGCGCTTTAATCTGCTGAGCTATTTGGCCAGCCCTAGGCCACAGATGTTAATATGAATAACATGTAGTTACGAAAATAATACTTCTCAAAAAATACTTGGTAGAGTAGCAGTGTTTTGCATTTTTACAAATCTCCTACGTTTCATTCTGTGGAGTAGCTGCACCTGCATTCTGTTAGGGGTAAGTTGCTTTATCTGAAGTGGATGGAAAGAAACACGCCGTACACAGGTAACCGTCAATTATTGAAGTGAGACATTGTATGTTACAAGTCAGAGCTGAAAGAAACGACAGGAGGCCTGGATTAATCTAGCCTCAGAGAACTCCTGAGCTCAAGTGACACCCCCGAGTCCTGAGACGGCCCACATTTATTGAGGGCTACTAACAGGCTGAGGAACATGTATAACTACTTCGGCGTAAGCAAGCTGTTATTTGCCTCTCCTTGCATTTACCACACTCCAAATTTAAGCATCACTAGTTGGTAACTTCCCAGGTAAAGAACAAAGATTGGATGGGGTACCGTCCACAGGAATCTGTCACCCTGTCTGGAATTACAGGGGCCAGTGTCCTTAGGTTCTGTTCTTTGTTCCTAAGGACAGCGAAGTCTGACAGGTAGTATTTAACTCAGTTGCAATGTGACATAGTAGCCTCATCAATAAACCTTCACATTGTACTGTTGAGTCCTCAGTCTGTCTTGCCTTCCTAGTGACATTATGGTGCTATACAGGGGCCCCCAGAAGCATCAGGTACTCAGATGGTGGGGCTTCTGGAAGGTGACTGGGTCGTGGCGTGCTACACAGGCCGGGTCTAGCTGGAGCTGAGTCCCTGGGGTGTGGCCTGGAAGGCAGGTCTCTTTTCGGTGCTTCATTTCTTCCTCCTTCAGGGTCACCTGACAGCAGCAGTTCTCTGCCCAGCCCCTCCACCATGCTGCTTCTGTATTTGATCTTGCTCAACATGAACCAAAACTTCTGAAATTGGGCTAAAATAACTTCATCTCCTTTAAACTGTGGGTGTTGGGTATCTTGTCCCAGCAAAAGGGAAAGTGGGACAAATAGGGATTTGTAACATTATCCATTTTGGGGGAAATGTTAGTTCACTGAGCTATTCAGAGCTCTCAAGTGTTGACATATTCCACCACTCAGTAGAAAAAGCAAGGAAGTCGCTTCCTTGGCCCCAAGTCTGAGGGGCAGGGTGGTGTGGAAAAGGACAGGTACATTGAAGAGGGCTGCCAGGGAAGCCATGGCCTCGCATGGAGGTTAGAGGCAGCGGATGCAGGGTGCACTAGAGGGGCTGGCACTGCCGGGGCTAACAAGCGAGCAGTAGAGTGCACCAGGAGGACATGGGCTGGACCGTCCCCGAGCAGCGGGCCAAGGTGTTGGTGCAGGGAGGGCCTGTACCATGTCTTAAGCTCCGGGGCTCCTGTACACCTTGCAGGCCAACCCGGATGCCTGGTGGGCTCATGTCCACTACTGACACTTGGCAAAACGATTTCAGCCACTCAGTTATGTTCATAGTTGAAAATATATTTTTAAAATTTATCAAAATTATGTAACATGACAAAATATGGATAAGGGAGAAATCACTCATCCAACCTAACAAATTTTCCTTCTATCATTTTAGCATATGTAGGCTTTGACCTGTAACTAGTGTTATAATCTCAAACTATCCTGCTTTTTAAATATAACAGTGTTACTGTGAGCTTTTCCATGTTACTGTGAGAGCTTAAGATTTTTATAGAATGCCTAATTTTCCATAAAGTGAATGTAATAATTTACCGTTGCATCAATGACTGCTAAGAGTACCATCATTTCATTTTAATAATGAATTCATGAATAAACATTTCTGTGTATATTTTGCTATATGTTAGAGTTAAATGAATGTGAACAGCTTCTCATTAGCCAGATACTAAAGCAATGTATAAAACTACTGGAAAGGCCAAAGGAATTCAGTATTTTAAGTGTTCTCTTTCATTCTGCTTGGAAAAGCTTACCCTACCTTTAAGGCTTAGAAATACAGAAAATCAGGAAAAGGTCTAAAAAACACTGAGTCTCCATCCAACAAGGCCTGAGGACACTCGCTTTGCATCCCCAGCACGGCCAGGATCCCCTGACCTGTGCCTCACTCCGCACTAAGAAAAACACGAGTGCCCCGAGCGCCCTGCACACCATTACTGATTCAGCCATTACCCATACCAGCTTGAAAAGCAGCAAGCTAGTATGTATTGTCAGCTTTGTGGACCAGATGATCCTTTGTAAGTATTTAGCTCTGCTGTGGTGGTACAAAAAGAGCATAAAAAATATGTATGCAAACAAATGCTGCCGTGCACACTCCAGTGACGCTTCACGCTGCGGAGGCGGCCACGGGTGGCGCTGGCCTGAGGGCTGCAGCTGGCCAATCCTGCAAGGAAATGCTCGGCCTTTCCATCACAAGCTGGTCTTTTTGAAGGAATGACACAGCAAACAGATTAAGTCCGTAAACTATTTCCATGTTTTGTTATTTTGGTACAGAGAAAAATCCGAATGCCTGGAGGTTTTGATTGTAAATACAGCTCAGCTGCTTACCTCATAATCAGGAGCTCTGGGGCTGGCTGCCGCCTTTCTTTCCTGCTGTCCTTCTGACACCTGCTCCCTCCTGAAACCATGCTGCGGAGGCTCCTGGGGCCCCTCTTCACTCAGTGACTTCAGACACCCCACACTTAGTTACTGTGCTCCTTTAAAGCCCCACAATGCGCGGGCCACACGCACTGATCTCCATCAAGCAGTAAGAAGCTAATTCTCCTGCAGGATCAGGACGCTTGCCCTGGGCCACCCCTCCGAGGGGCTGCTTCACAGGTACATTCCATGCAGCTGCCTGCCTGCCCTGTGGCACAGCAGTGGCAGCTACCTCCTGAACAGACCGTGCAGCACAAGCCTCCTTGGATTCTGTTTTCTTGAACATTTCTTTCAGAGTATTCTCTTCAGAACATGCCATTTTACATACAGATGACTGCCATGTAACAGAGTTGGATGAATCCCACACTTACAATGTAATAAGGTTGGGGAAAAAAAAATCTATCTTCTTTATGGAAATAAAGTGAATTGGTGTCTGTAAACGCTCATCTGCCCGCAGCTTGGAAGGACTCTGCATTTATCACTGTCAAGGATTAGCAAGTCCATATTTTTATGGCAGTCTAACAGCAGAAACTCCAACTGAAAGCTAACATTTGGGCGCTGTTGTTTTCATTAAATGCTAGGCACACAAATTAGAAAAGTCCCAGCATGGGAAGGCTCACTTCAAACAAGAGATCTCACAGATCTGCAGCTGGGCCAGAAGAAAATCAAGAGTACCTGAGTGAAATCACCATGAATATAAAACAAGAGTTTTAAGGAGAAATCACTTTTGAGAAATACTTTTTTAAATAGTCTTTGTTCATTTGCCACACCCCCAACCCCCACTGGGCTTTTGGTCACTTAAAAAATGTCCATCTTGTGGGCCTGCTTATTTGTCACCTTAACCTATTCATGTATGAACTCATTTGAAACAAAACTGAAAGTGCTTTAAATGAGGAGTTAAATGTGGCAGCAGCTAGTAGGGAGGCTGAGGCAAGGGCCGCGCAGCCCAGGAGTCCAAGGCTCACCCAAGCAACACGGCAAGATCCCACCTCAAAGAGAAACACTTCATGTTTTCAGTCATGGTCTCAATTCAAGTTCGAATGAAAACAAACTGGATGGCTCAGCCCAGTGAAGATAAGTCATGCTGATGACGGAAGCTTACGTCTACGTCAGGTCCCGATACTATTGTGCAAAGGAGTTTCTGGACTTTTGCTACAAGTGCAATGTTCTAACAAGATCAAAGACAATTTCCTCTTTGATACAGACTGCCATTTTCAATACAGTATTCTACGGTAATCTTGCCTGTTTTTTTTGGACAGTCTCAGTATATAGTTCAGTTCAATACATAGTTCAAGCATTTTACTGAATGCTTTTTATTTGAACTGTGTAGCCCAGGCTGGCTTTAAACTTGAGGTGAACTTCCTGTCTCAGCTTCCCAAGAACTGGGATTACAGATGTGGGCTACCAAACCCGGCTCTTGCCTGTTCTTATACTAGGGTGATAAACTACCTGGTGTAGTAGACAATGCTCAAGCTGACCAAATACAGACGCCATGCAGTCTCTAGAAGGGGTCCTTGATCACATTTTCTGTGCTTCTAGGTGCAGGCGCCCATCTAAGTGCTCGGAATGCATTATTATGAGAGGAGAAAAATGTTCAAGAGGGATGGAGATGACACTGCAGTAAGAGTGAGGGTCAGGGCTGAAGCCACACACCTAGCCAGGAGCTGGGCTGCCCACCACAATGCTAAGCTGCCTGGCCCATGCTATGCCTTGACAAGGAGCCAGCTGCTGCTGTATACGCGCCGTGTCTGCTCTCCTAGGGTCACGCCTCCGTTAAGACTGTCATATATAAATCCGCCTTTACAAGAGGCCTGAGTATGCAGAAATATTTTTTAATGCTAATAGCTATGTACATTTTACTGAATGCTTTTTGTTGTTTAGAATTGAATCAATGATTGCAAATTACACAACTTCCTGATACAAGTGTACTGTTTAACCTCTGCACACAGATCTAGTTTGAAAAAGGTAATATACTAGTAAGTACATATTTATCCTATTCTTTAAAACCTTGTATGAAACATAGAATATACACACTGGATTAGGCTCCTGGCCAGTTCTAGAAGTCCATGGCTAAAGACTATTGAGAGGAAATGTCCACAGAATGAGAACTGCAGTGTGCGGGGCAGGAGGGCCAAGACTTGCTTTCAGGCCTTCCTCTGTGTGCTCTATCCTGATATTCTAGCAAATGCAACTAAAAACCATTCCTCCTGAGAGGCAAGTTCAATAAAATGTACTTCCTGTTACTAGTTTAACAAAAATATTATTTTAAAAGTAATCAATTACTATTTAAAATTTGTAAGAAGAAACTTACTAAAAATAAGACAGTCACTGCTCTGAGTGCAGGCTAAGGTAAATGATTATCAACACAGCAACACTCAACAGAGCTGCAGCTGGTTAAGGCTGGCTGCACAGCCATCTGTCAGTGACCCTGTCCCCAGCACGGCCAGCAGATCCTGTCTGTGCTTCTCTTACTGAGGGGACTCAGGACAGGGCTGCCACCCACAGGCTCCCCTTCCGTCCTGCTGACCACTGCAAGGAATTGTACTGTCACAGCCTCTCACTGAAGTCCATAGGTCTGAGTTGAATTATTCAAGGTGAGTGTCACGATGATAGAACGAGGATTCTTCTTATTCTTGTGAACTGTGATTTTCCCTTTTAAGGATTCACCTGTACAAGAAAAACAAAAAAAATATTTATAAATTCAAGGAATATAGGGTAACAGAGAAAAATGATAGTAGCAGTAACAGAAAATTATTTATAAATTCAAGGAATATAGTGTAGCAGAGAAAAACGAAGGAATTATAGGTGCAGCTTAGATTTCAGTGTGTGCACATTGGGGGCTAGTAGTGGAGACCACCCAGAGGCTCTGGACTGAGCTATACCCCACCTCTTAATTTTTCATTCAGGGAAAGCGTCTTGCTAAGCCTCGGGCTGCTGAGGCAGAAAGGTCAGAGCTGCCCCTTCTGAGCGGAGTTCTACCTGGAGACCCTCATGCATCAGCCCCAGTAGTAAAACTGTTTTACTTGGCATGTAACGAGACTGCTGGCTGTGGTGCACCAGCCTCCCCTACAGCGGTGTTCTGCGGACAGCACAGGTCACATTCATCCCTAGGTAAGAGCATGCGAGTATTAACTCAGCACTTGTCTCAGGCTAGGCTGCCCCTAGGGCCTCTCTCAAGGCCCCCATTACTGTGTCCAGTTATGCACAGACATAGTAAATACACAACTCACACTGACAAAATAATGAGCACAGAAATAGTACACGTCTGTTGCAACATAAAGACTGACGTCCTAAGAACTGGTTCTGCTTTCATTCCACAGGGGAATTCATGCATTTTTCTAACTGTAAATTAACTTTTTCATGTATTTGCAAAATAAATTAAAAAATAAAAGAGTAGATAACTCAGGTGTAACTGGTCACCATTCCATAGGTTAATAAAGGCCACACGAAGAGATTCAGGGTTAGCTCTGCAACAGACGACCAAGCAAGACTCAGGTGAGGCGACAAATCCTGGGTCATATGTCTCATTTAAAAACAAACTGCAGGGCTGGCCAGGTAGCTCAGCGGACTGGGGTTCGATCCCTGGCATGCTGTATTGGCCCTGCTCCCCGGGGCACACTGAGAGGGTGGGCGTGGTGCTGTGCACCTGTAATCCCAGTGCTTGAGAGGCTGCAAAACAAGAGGATCACTAGGAGTCGCATCTGTGTAGTGAGACCCAATACTAAATACATAAAAAAAAAAAAAAAAAAAATCAGAAAAAAAAAAAGGAAGTGAGACAAGCAATTCAGAACAATAAACCCAGGATGTGGTCTATTCCACAAACATAATTTTATGTGCAGATGTGTAGTTACTGTGTGCATGTTGCTGTGGTTGTGTCTTCCTCTGCTGCAAAATAAGATGCCCAGGTCACCATACTCCCCTACAGCGGTGTTCTGTGGACAGTAGAGCTCAGCCCACGTTCATCCCTAGATAATAGCATGCCAGTATTAACTCAGCACTCCTCTCGGGCTAGGCTGTTCCTAGGGCCTCACTCAATGCCCCCAACGCCCTCGAGGATGGGGCCTCTCCCTTCTCTACAGCCTGCCTTTTGTGAGGGCAGCCAACAGGCAGCAGCAGGCCCTGAAGTGTGTCTGACTTCCCAGCCTGAGCTCTCAGCTGTGCTCCAGGGCCCAACTCCCTGACAAATAACGACCATGGCTTTAAACAGAGAGCATTGCATTGGGAATGAAATGGCCCAAATTATTCTGTGATCTTTCTTGTACAGATATTTAGATACTTATTTATATAATTTTATAGTTATTCTACCAAATCTTTAATAAATTATAGGGAAGACAATGCATCATCAACAAATCTAGTAGGATTTTGAACACTGAATGTACACGTAGTATCTTTGTGCTTGTTTTTTTTAATGTATTTGGTACAGGGTCTCACTACGCAGCTCAGACTCATAGTGATCCTTCCATCTCAGCCTCCCCAGCACTGGGATTACAGGTGTGTGTCACTATGCCAGGTCTCAGTGGCCAGCTCAGCATGCCTGGGGGTGGGGCCAGCATGGCATGTGGTGCCAGGGATTGAATTCCGGTTCCTGTGCTTGCCTAAGCAGGCACTTAAAGTCTGCTGAGCTACCTTGCCAGCCCTGTGCTTCTGTTTTTAAACAAATTTTTGTTTTTTTTAGATAGGGTCTTGCTATGTTAATTCAGGCTGGCCTTAAACCCACTGTATAGCCCAAACTGGCTTCAAACTCTCAGTGACCCTCCTGCCTCAGCTTCACAAATGCTAGGATTACAGGGGGGGCTTACCATGCCCAGCTTTAACCAACATTTTAAAACTTACATATATATAAACCAACTTACCGATTACTAATACTGAAACTTGGGGAGGGATAGCCACTTAAATTGCTACTGCTTTTATAAGAATATGAGAACCGCAACTTGGATATTACAGTTAACTCACTGAATCAACAGCTGCTGATTAACAGCTATTGATTGCCACAATCCAGTGGCTTGTTGGTTTCTTTCTCATAAACAGGGTATTTTAGTATAAATCACTTAATTTACAAAGTAGCTCATATGTATAAGACAGTTAATGTGTGTGAGATTTAAAAGCCAAAAGCTGACCTCTGCAGACCCACTCAAAGGTCAGGATCTTATCACAATACCAACATATCCTCTCTCCACCAGCCCAGACATTTTTGTTCTACCGCCTATTCAGCATAGTTTTACTTCATGGAGATTTAGTCTTAAAATTTGTATCTTAATATAGTGCTTTTTTTTACATGCTTCATTTTTTGTATTTTAGGGAAGGGTCTACAGGGTGCTCAGGGTCTCTCTACTAGATTGTGGACTCCTAGTGATCTGCCTGTTTACAGCCTCCCAAGAGCTGGGATTGCAGGCGCACACCACCACGCCCAGTCTCAGTTGCCCACTCAGTGCGCCGTGGGGGCAGGGCTGGCATGGCCAGCCCAGGAAACAAACCCCTGGCCCCTGCGCCTGCTTGTAGTAACTTTGTAATGTCTGATAGCCAACTGAAAATTATTAGATGTGTTAAAAAGCAGAAATTAGAGACCTGTAGGCAGAAGAAAATTCAGCTACTAGAAACAGGTTTAGAGAAAAACGTGCTTATAACTAGAGAAACAGGAGAAAGGTGACCTAACAGAACTTGCAGAGTGGAAGCGCACGCGTATGGAGAGCTGACTGAGAAGGCCAGCAGCACAAGGCACTGAGGACGAAAGTCTGCAGATCTCAAGCGGCGGGAAGGGAAGCCTCCCAAGCTGGGGCACGGGGCCAGGGCTCCGCTCTTGCCTGGAAGAACAGCCACGCACTTGCAGTCACTGCCAAACTCTGTCATACGGACCAGCCCAGCGCTAATGGGAAAACAGGAAATGTGCATGACAGGCACCAGGGAAAGACTACCGTGCAGAAAATATGCTATTTCATAAAACTATAAACTCACAGATTGGAAAGCGCAACCAACGTTAAGCAAAATAAATACTTTGAAGGGATGGAAGAAAACCTTTCAACTAGGAATTCAATAGCCAGCATGTATCTCTCTGAAATGAAGGTAAAATAAGGGCTTTCTCAGAGAAGCAAAAACAGAAAAATCCTTTTCTATTGGACTCTGACTGTAAGAAATATTAAAGGAAAGGATGAAATGGCTGAGTATGTGGTAAACACTAAAGATACCTTTGGAAAACATACAAGATAATTGGTTAAAATAAAAACAGTGAGTGTAAGTGTACTGTGCTCGAAACATTTGGGAAGCACAATGTTCTGTAGCAACAGCACTAAGGCCTGGAGGAGCGATATGAAGCAGGCTACAAGCGCCCCGTGCTAGGCATGAAGCGACTGTGTCCCATCACTTGATGGCAGCCTGGCTACATGCACACTACTAAGGGTGGAGATAAAACAAGAAATTTATTTAGTTGCCAAAAGACAGCAAAGAGGGAAAAAAAAGCAAAGAGGGAAAAAAAACCAAAAAAAAACCAACCAAATGACAGAATTGAACCCAAGACTTCTAAATACTCTGTAAGTCAAAGTATATAAAAATGTAGACTAGCTAAAAAAAATGCTTACGGGAAAAATTTATAAATTTCAGTATTGACATTACAAAACAGACCTACAGATCTTCATTGGTGAATTCTAACTGATCTTTAAGGAAAAACAGCAATTCTATATAAATCAGTACTAGAAGAATACTCCTAAGTCCATCTCCTCAGTGTGGAATTATCCTGACAAAACAAGATTGACTCTTTAGAAGTAAACTACAAGAGAACATACCCGTGAACACAGACACGAAGTCTAGTGAGCAAAGAGGACACCATGCCCTATGATATAAAAAACAGCATGAGAAGAAGCCACTGGTGCTGGAGCACATGGCTTCTCCACCTGGTACAGGAGATCTGTGACGAAGCCCAGACAGCGCTGTTCACAAGGAAGGCTAGTGCTGCCTCCTAGGGCGGAGACTGTGGCAAGGATGGTCTTCCCGATCACATCAAATCGTTGTTCGGCCAGAAGTATTGGTCAAGAATTAAGACACGGGAGTGTGTGGGGACACCTCCTGGACAAATTCAAGTCCTCACGGCATGGCCTTACATGTAGAAAATTCTAAAACAATATGCAAAACTACTGGAACTTTAACAGTTTTGGCAAAGTCAAGATATAAAATATACTTCTATATATAAGCAATGAAGAATTATAAACTTCAAAAATCACAATAGTGATCAATAGTAATAGTTTTAGCCAATACTTGACATAAATGTTACATAGGTCCAAGAATTAGTCACATAAAACCGAAATTCTAAAAAGGTTAAAAATAAAAGGGAAAACCCATTATAAATAAATGAAAGATTCGCTATTGTGAAGATGCTGTTTCTTCTCTAACTAGAGGTTCAACAAATTCCAAACAAAATTCTAGGGCCGGGGAGATGCAGCATAAGCATCTGCCCGGCAAGTGCAAGGTCCAGAGTCAATCACTGATACCAAAAAGGAAAAAAAAGGAGAGAGAGGGGGGGGCGAGAGAGAGCGTGAGCGAGCGAGAGCGAGAGAGAGCGAGAGGAATTTCCAACACAGGCTTTTTTTTTTTAGTGTACCAGGGCTCAACCTTAGGACCTTGTGCTTGCCAAGGAAGCACTTATTACAGGCTTCTATTTTGAGGCTAGATTAGTAAGA